CTAACCCGCTAGTTGTAAGAAATACACGATTGCAAAGGGGTTGAACACTGCGCAATAATGAAAAGTTGAGTCCGTGTTGAACGTTGACTGATTATACTTTTATTTATATTGTGACATTTGTTTTACGTTTACTTTTTACAATTATTCTTCGTTTGTTGCCTTTTTTTCGTACTTAATCGCCGCCCGTAATCCATACGACAGCTCGCGCCTGTAACGACTTCTCGTCGTCACCGTCATCACTTCCTGTCCAGCTTTGGGGCTCCGTTTTACTGTTATATTTCTACTGTTCGATTTCAGTTTCTCGATCTACGATTTTATTTTTGCCAATTAACCCCTCTTAAACTGCTTGTCGTTGTCATTGCCCCCGATTCAAGCAGTGTGTTTGCCCAACTGTGCTTTGCCATTCCATCGCTGCCGGACATTCGTCGCCATTCACTAGGAACGACCGAACCTTCTTTAATGTTGTTTTGAGACTTCATTATACTCTGCGTTGTATTTTTTTAGGTAAGTATCTTTTTTCTTACTTCAAAGATCGAAGTGAAGATCTTTATATCGGTTGACTTTTTCCATCAACTTTCGGCTCGGTTAAGGGTTTTTTGTTATTCCTCTACTTTTTTCACATCTTTCTTTGGGTTATACTGTCCATTTTTTTTACAAACGTTATGTTATCCTTAACAAATTACTGTTATTAGCATATTTAAATAATAAAATTAATTTTATTCTAGTGTGTCTCTCTGCGCGACTCGTGTGTGTTACTAGAACATGCCGGTATCGTCGTTATAAGTTGCTATTTCCTCTTTTTATTTATATGTTTCCGTCTATGAGTTTAGCTAATGCGACCCTACACAAAATGTTGTTGTAATAAAGAACTTAAATGTATGGTTATTTGACAAGCGTCCGCGTCGGAGTATCCGTGTATCTGCAGATGAGTAGACGCGCACAAAGGTTACGAATAGTATTAGCACAGTGTCCTGTTCCCGTTTTGCAAAGTGACTCCGATCTACATGCATGCTGGAAAATGACGACCGTTTAATCTGTCTTTCTTGCTGGAAACAAGTTTAGACATGTCTAATCGTTCCATCAAGTCAATAGGATAAAAAACAAGTCTTATATTTGTACAACCGTTTGGTCACGACTTTTTTCCTTTCTGTATGTATTTGCATTTAAGATGAACAAGTTGACTCAGCAGCTTGTGGACCACCAGCTGAAGTGGACAAAATCCCTATTTCACAAAAATTTCGCTTTTTGTTCACCAACCCGAAAGACGATCGACAATCATCGTCAAATAGAAGATTTGTTTGGATAAACATCGATTTATTTCGAACAATTACTTATTAAACGGATATGTTTATTAGAAACTGTGGCGACATAATAATTTTACAAAAAAAATAATTTAAAAAAATATGCATTTATATATGCTTAGGCGCCGCTGCTCCTGATTCTTGCACGGACATATCACACTGTACTTCTGTTTTACCCTCCTTCGACATTTATTAATATCATTGTTATCGTCCTTCTTTGTGTTCTTACCCTTGAGCATAAATCAAGGAAACAATAACGGGAGACCCTTCTCCTTGTAAACAATGTTAGCTTTTATTTCAATGCTTGGTTACACCTGTTTCAGCTTCGTCTGTTACTTGTTTCTGTTGTGTGTAAATGATGTGTGTTAGTTTATGTGTCCATTTGTTTACATATGGATGTGTTGTAACTTCGCTTTCCGTTCAAGAGCTACTTTGAGGGATTTCTTGAGCGCATTAGGGAAATCACCCAAAGACAGAAGGATGAGCGCTTTTACAGGCGCGCAAACATGCAGCAGCTCCTCGTGTCTTTGTTATATATATATATCATTCACTGCTGTATATATATGCATATATATATATATATATAGCAGCGAATGATCAACGGATGCCAAATATATGTACGCTTCGGTTCTAGATAACACGGTCGAGTGAGAATGTTCTCTATTATTGAATAAATCAGAGTTAATATGATTTTGTTGCTGCTAAGCGTTCAGCAGAGACTAACATAACTGAAGATGGTCGATCGAATTAGAACACATTCTCACTAGAATGAGTTACTTTTTTTAGGGAATTGTTGAATAATCGCTTGACCGAAACGGGCACACGTTTAATCATTTATTATTACTGTGTAACCAAAATGGCTGGAATCAGAGATATGTAGAGACATCAATACATGAAGGACATACTAGCAAATGTTTCATTTGATAGCACGTCCTTCATTTATTGATTTCCCTACAATGACCTCAAGTCTCCATAAGTAAAATTTTGTGAATATTTTGTTCATTTTGTAGTTGACTCTCAGCTAATCGGTGGCTGGCTCCTAGTCAGGTTTACAGGACGCGTATGTTTGTTGCTGAGTTGAATGACTCAAATGCATGAGAACGCGGTTTATACATTATTATTGTGTCCCAATGTTCTACCCGGAATAGAATTTAAGCTAAACGGTCTCATTCGAAGACTCACCTGTGCTATCTTACAAGAAAAAAAAACCTACATATTTCCTTTGCAAAGAGCTCATAATATGATCCAGATTATCCAATGGGGGCCTCTATACTATATGGATAATGTAAAAAAACGTAGTTATTGAGAATTAATTTGTTCGCTCACTCTGATTGATTGATTGATTTACTGCTCACCAAGTGCTATCCAGTATGCGATGCCTGTCGTTATTATTAAGAATTATTGTTTATATTATTATTATATTGGTAATGCAGTGCCAACATACAATACAGTATCAACTTTTAATAAAATATAAAAAAGCCTAACAAGATCATCTTTATGGTAAGCATCGTCACCATCTACTACCACACAAACTTCTTGTTATTCCTTATGTAGAACAACTCGCCACTTGCACTTGGGGTCCCTGAGCCCTTCTGACGGAACTTCATCAAGAAGAGATACTTTCTCGGCTTCATCATTACCCTTTTATGTAGAATCTTACCACCATCTTGTATCATTTAATAGCATTTTAGACTTTCTTTGTATAATATTAGCTTATTGCAAACAGCGCCATCTTCGCACTTACTACACGAGATAAATGCATAGCAGGGCTGTTCGCTTAAACTACATATTCGGCTTAACTTTTTGATTTTCTCTCGCATTCGTTAAAGTTTTTTTTCTGTCCCAATTTACCCCGTTCGGCTATACCTCCATCATTTGAGTGTATTATTTATATATTCTTTACTGATGCCGTGGGGTTTTCCACGTTCACTACGTCGTTGCGTGCCTCGCGTTTTCAGTTATTATTGACATGATAACCATTATTATTATTATTATTATTAGCATCCTTACATCATCGTATATATTAGTTTTTCGCTCTATATAATAATAAACATTCAACGTCAACATTTCTTTTCCTGTTCAGCTTTTTTGTCCTTTTTTCTTATATAAAATCATCTTCCGTTACTGCCACGCTCTTTTAAGAAGTTATCATTTCAACAGGTATATAGTTTTCTGCTGCGTATGTTTTGCTTTTGCATCGACGACTATTATTTGTTTATTCGTCTCTTGTTATTATGCTGCTACCCAGTTGTCGTCGGTATAAAAAACATGAACAAAATACACACAACAATACAACCTCATTTTCTTGCTTATTTCCCTTAATATAATTGTCATTATAGTTACCGTTTGTTCTTAGTTTATATATATATGTATATATATGGTCGTCATCAGTTCTTATATATAATTAACTATCTAGGGAGTCACAGTTGTCAACAATAAGTATCAGTACAATAAAATCAGTCTATGTTAAAGTTTGAGAGTAGTCGGCACCTACCATTGATCGAGGACGTCGACGTGTCCAAGCCTACAGGATGTATTTTTATTTATTTTTTTCGTTTCTTATATCTAACGTATATCCCCGAAGCGCCGTTTCAATTCTGGAAGAAATTGAAATTTCGCTTCTATTCCCTAATTCTTTTTCGTTCACCTTGTTGGCATTTACTGTGAAGTTCGTACCAACCATCCAGTATTTTCACTTTTGGGACTACTATCATTTTGTTATCTAATTCAGACACATTCCCCGTTAGATCTTTTATTTCTCCATGATCTATAAATAAATTCACTTACGTTACTTACAATTAATAATAAATTTATAACTATTCATCAAAATTTAAACCATTATATTTAATTATTATTACTTTATATATATGTATATATAAAGTCATTGAGAGCCTTGCAATAAATTTCTTCAATCCTGTTGCTGCAAATCTTAAACATTTCATTTTCTTATTAATTTACTCTGTAATTGCCTATGCTTTTCCACATTTCTATTTATACAAGTGTATAAAATAAAGCTAGCGTCTCAATTTTGTGAGAATAGATAAATATGTATTCTATTTCATCATAGTAAATATTGCACCACGTTACCCCAATATATGTATCGCTTACTGTCACAGTGTTAAACTTTTTTTTTTACAATCTTTACTTGATTTTCGTCTCATCGAAATCTTCCCTCCAGCACCGACATTCTCGCATTTCAAATATAATTATTACTATGACGTAATAATGAGGCAAAGGTTGCATGTTACTACTATTCGACTCTCCCGTGATTACTTCGGATTGGCCATGCTATACATTGTCTGTTTTAAAATTGCCTCAACGACCCTATTAGAAGGTTAGGTCCCTCTCGTCGTCATAAGCCCGTTGTTCTTTGTATGTGATTCTTCTGCGATTTTAGCAGTTAGATATATGTATGATGCCATCATAGAAAGTATTATGATGCTTAGGCTATGCAACTGAGTGACACATTGAGGGGGGCATTCCATATTATTATAATGGTTTACTGCCTCTAGTTACATTATAGAAGCTACCAATCTGTCATAATATTAAGTAACAGTGATAGTTTACGATACCT